TTAAGGAAAAAACGATGAAGAAGTAATATCAACCATACATTGTCTGTTTCAGAAAATAGAGGAAGAACACTTACCATCTCATTTCCTGAGGGTAGAATAACCTTGATATCAAAACTTGAGAAAGGCATTACAAGAAAAGGGAATTACAGACCAATAATCCCATGATCATAGGAGCAGGTATCATTAACAAAATATTAATAAATCAAAGACAGCAATATATGAAAAGAATAATATACCATGACCAAATATGGGTCATCCTAGGAATGCAATGTTGGTATAATAGTAAAAGAAATCATTCAACATAAATCATCACATTAACAGATTAAAAGAAAAAATGATGTGGTAGTTTTTGATAGATGGACAAAAAGTATTTGACATAATTCAATACCTATTCATGGTATAAAATGTGAACAAACTGGGAGTAGAAAGGAGCTTCCTTAATCTGATAGAAGACCTCTATGAAAAACTTCCTGATCATCATCATACTTAATGAGGAAATAGTGGGTATGTTCCCTGTACAGTTGGGAATAGTCAATGATGTATGCTCTCAGCTTTTTTAAAAACAGTATTTTATTGAATGTTTTAGCCAGTGTATTAAGGCAGGTATGAGAAAATTAAGACGTAAAGATTATAAAGAAAAATAAAATGGTCCTTATAAGCCATTACATAATTGTGTAGATAAAAAATACTCAAGAAACTATACAGAAATCTACAGGAACCAATAAATAAACATGACAGGGTTACACAGTGTAGTGTGTACCAAAATTAATTGTGTTTTTATGTACTAGTAAAAAAATTGAAAAGAAATTTAAAATCAATGTTATTTACAATGTCATAAAAATTAAAATACTTAGGAGTAAATAAATCTACTGAAAACCATAAGATATTCCTGAGAGAAATTAAAGGAGACCTCCATAAATGGAGAAATAAATCATGGTCATGGACTGGAAGACCTAATATTGCTAAGATTTGTATGTTCCCCAAATTGATCTATAGATTCATCATAACCCAGTGAAGACCACCGAAGGCATTTTTGAGAAATTGACAAGTGATTCTAAAATGAACATGTAAATGCAAAGAACCTAGAATAGCCAGAACAATTTGGAAAAGAAGAAAAATATTGGACAACTCACACAACCTAATTTCAAGAATTAATATAAAGCCTCAGTAATCAAGGCAGTATGGTATTGGCCTTAATGTAGACAGAGACAGATAAATGGCACAGAAATAGAGCCAAACATAAATTGCCAATTGATTTTTTGACATAGGTGACAAGTTAGTCCTATGCTGAAGTATAGTCTTTTCACAAATGGTGCTGGGACAACTGGGTGGCTATTATGGGGAGGAAACAACCTTGACTCATACCTCCCAACAAATACGGGTCTACGGATCATAGACCTAAAGGTAAAATTAAAACTGTTACTTTCGAGAAGAAAACGTAGATGGTTTCTTTGTAACCTTGGAATAGTAAAAATATTTCATAGAACATAGTACAAACCATAAAAAATGATAAATTGGATTTATAAACTTTAAAACTATTTGTTCATCAAAATATATTATCAAGAAAATGCATAGAAAGCCTCTGGGAGAATAAATAATAAGTTGCATTTTCATGTAATAATGCATGTAGGAAGTACAATGAAAATAATATTCCATTTATAGTATG